GCGGGACCAAGAAAGAAGAAAACAAAGAAGCCGGGGGCGGCAAACTCGGCGGATAAAATCGGAAAAAGGCACATGGGTGTGAATTGCGTTGTTGAAGAATACACCGTTGAAAGAAATGAAGCGAAGGAAGCGCAGCATTCATGCGGCATGACGACCGGATCACATAACATTATACAGCGAGAAACGGCGCGGTCGGGCCAGAGAGAAAATATAGGAAACCATGGATGGGGTAAAATGTTTCGAACGACCGGAAAAAAAACGGTGACACGTACATGTACGACACCCATTACTAAAAATAAGACAGACACTATGGATGGCCGACCTGGTTGGGGCAGGCACAGACCTGTTTGCTAGATATGTGAGCAGTCCAGCTTTGCACTGGACGTTGTATCCAACACCAACTGTGCTACACTACCGTAGCAGGTTGTTGTGGTCCGTGGAAATGAAAGTGTCGATGGGGGCTATCCGTGCGCCTGAAGATATTGAACTGCGTGTGAGTCATTGGTGCTGTTGCTGCTCGCGTGGGTGTACACCACGATCGCGCGCGGAGACCACTAGTCGCAACTAGGTGCACATGCACGTGACTGATTGAGAGGAGTGGTAAAAGACAGACGAAGCGGCGCCAGAGAGAGACGGGAAAAAAAACAAAAAAACGGCGATGAGATGAGCGGAGACCGACAAACCTGACAGTCTCGTTGACTCCCTCCGCAACGGCCTCCACTTTTGCAATGGCCTCCACTTCCACTTTTGCAATGGCCTCCACTTCACTCTGGGAAACCAGCAGCAAAAATACATGTAGTAGAAAGACTCCTCCACTGTGCAACATAGGGCAGTGACTTTCACGGTACGGGTGGACGGTATCTATGTACGTACATGACACACCATCCTGGTCCGCACGAATTTTCGATAGATTCAAAACGCCTCTTTGAGAAAGGAGGGGTGGTTGCCGTTTTTCCTTTTATTTAGTACTTTGGCGCGCGACAAGCACACCCACCAACACCAGTAGCAAATAACACCAAGCCGTTCCATCCATCGGCTAGAGCGAAAATACTCGTGTTAGTGACGTGCTCGCGGCCTCTGAAAAAATGTCATCCCGGTAAAAAATTGCAGATACAGTCAGTTCCATCGAGAACCGCGGGGACAAGAGAGAGAGAGAGAGTATCGTAGTGACGGAAGACAAGGCGAAGATAGATGTACTGTAGTAGGATGCCAACAATCCTCCTCCAGTCGCACATGCTAAGATGATGGTGTGTGTTGCTGGCTGTACATACAATACACAGAGAGTAAACAGCAGCAGCGGGAAGAACCGATAGTTTGTCAAGTACGACTGGAGTCTCATCGTATTGTTATTATTATTGTGTTCTGGCTTCCCCTCTCATGATTTTCATCTTCCGATCTGTCTTCTGCTATAGACTATATAGCCGTTGCTGCCCTGCTCTTCTGTCGACGAAGGGTCTGGGCGAACGGGGCCGAGAATTATTACTACAACGAGGGGTTGATTTTTTGTAGTGTACAAATTACCAACCCAAAACGTCCCCACTTACCTAGTTAAATTATTGCTTCCACAGCAGCAGCGCCTCTCCTGCATCCTACTTCACTTCGTGTTCATGCCGAGCGGCCACAGGTAAAACGACCCCACCCCTATCCCCCCCCCCTCGGCCTTGTTTGCCATCGGGGTTTGGGTTTTCGTCGCTTGGCAACGACGTTGTAAAACAAGCCGCCCCCCCCGGTGTTTACCATCGGGGTTGGGTTTTCGTCGCTTGGCAACGACGTTGTAAAACGAGCCCCCGCTCGGTGTTTGCCATCGGGATTGGGTTTTCGTCGCTTGGCAACGACGTTGTAAAACAAGCCAATTCACTTCGTGAACTCGGCAACCAGGTTACCGTTTTTTTTTTTTTACCTCTGGTTTTTTTTTTGGCGGTAACCATAATGGTAGTCGAGTAGATCATGTTGTGCGGGGTCGAGAAACCTCACTCCGCGCAACGGGGGATGATCGCACCACGTTGTGTTAAAATGGTCAAGCTTCCTCGAGGCAGTTACACAGTGCTTACAACCGTCTCTGGAAGTGAAAGCACCAGAAAATAAATTAAGTCATACGTAGCTGTCATCCGTACGCAAGGAAGTAAGCACAAGATGCCGAACACCCTTAGCAGGATGCAGCTCACCCTTCATGCGACTCGCCAAATACCTCACGGCGCTTCGCGCTTGGTGATGTGAGAGCCTGGTCCGGTGAGAACCCGGCGTGCTCCGTCCCGGCTTTGTAGGGATGCGAGGTCAATGGTCAAACGACTACGGCATGCACGACTATGAGTACACCCCCCCCCTGCCAGTGTTTGCCATCGGGGTTTGGGTTTTCGTCGCTTGGCAACGACGTTGTAAAACAAGCCCCCCACTCGGTGTTTGCCATCGGGATTGGGTTTTCGTCGCTTGGCAACGACGTTGTAAAACAAGCCAATTCACTTCGTGAACTCGGCAACCAGGTTACCGTTTTTTTTTTTTTACCTCTGGTTTTTTTTTTGGCGGTAACCATAATGGTAGTCGAGTAGATCATGTTGTGCGGGGTCGAGAAACCTCACTCCGCGCAACGGGGGATGATCGCACCACGTTGTGTTAAAATGGTCAAGCTTCCTCGAGGCAGTTACACAGTGCTTGTAACTTGTCTCTGGAAGTGAAAGCACCAGAAAATAAATTAAGTCATACGTAGCTGTCATCCGTACGCAAGGAAGTAAGCACAAGATGCCGAACACCCTTAGCAGGATGCAGCTCACCCTTCATGCGACTCGCCAAATACCTCACGGCGCTTCGCGCTTGGTGATGTGAGAGCCTGGTCCGGTGAGAACCCGGCGTGCTCCGCCCCGGCTTTGTAGGGATGCGAGGTCAATGGTCAAACGACTACGGCATGCACGACTATGAGTACACCCCCCCCCCCCCCCCCTTTTTTTTTTCCTCTGTTTTTTTTTTGGCGGTAACCATAATGGTAGTCGTGTAGATCATGTTGTGCGGGGTCGAGAACCCTCACTCCGCGCAACGGGGGATGATCGCACCACGTTGTGTTAAAATGGTCAAGCTTCCTCGAGGCAGTTACACAGTGCTTACAACTGTCTCTGGAAGTGAAAGCACCAGAAAATAAATTAAGTCATACGTAGCTGTCATCCGTACGCAAGGAAGTAAGCACAAGATGCCGAACACCCTTAGCAGGATGCAGCTCACCCTTCATGCGACTCGCCAAATACCTCACGGCGCTTCGCGCTTGGTCATGTGAGAGCCTGGTCCGGTGAGAACCCGGCGTGCTCCGTCCCGGCTTTGTAGGGATGCGAGGTCAATGGTCAAACGACTACGGCATGCACGACTATGAGTACACCCCCGCCCCCCCCTCCGTCCACATATCTGTCGACTAAGTTCGTTGCAATATAGACACAAAAGCAATTCGCTCCTGGAAAACACCGGTGTGCAGGATTGTAAGCCCGACAGATGTTGTCTTGGAAGAAGCCCGGCGTGATCGTCCGTGAATTGAAACGTACAACGTGTGTTGAATCGCTCCGAAGGACACGCCCACCGCATAAAACAAAAAGGCATTACGGCCTCCCCGACCTAGATCGTTTGGTTTCTCGAGGAACAAGCACGGCACCGAGACCCCTTAGATTCAAGCGTATCCCTGCTAACGATACAACAAACTGCAGATATCGGTTCTCGTCCGAGGTGCACAGGGTTGTACGCCTCTGGTACGATGCTTACTCTAGGTGAGGCTATGGGGCACTATGAACATCCAATATGGCTACCTACGTTGCTGTGCCGGTTGTGGTACCACATACACAGGTCCACCCATCCTACAGTATAGACTTGATACATCCATCTACCAACCGAAGTGCTAGGAACGTAACAGACATTGAGAATCGAACAATGGTCGAAAAACAAACTGATACAAACACAACAAATTACGTGGTGAGCACCACGAAAGGCTCTATCTATGTAGTAGGCCCATGTTTAGGTCAGAGGCATCAAAGAAACTCGCTTACAAGTGCATGTGCATATTCTCCCATGTAGAATATGAGAAGTCAGTTTGTTCTTCATAACCGTCCCTCCTTCAACTTCATGCTGCTGCTGTTCTGAGCCTACTCATGTGCCATAACATGTGCCATACATACCATAACAGGGCTGAATCTGGGAAACCGTGCAGGGTGTAACCATTGTAGTATGTACCATGTTTATTATTTGCAGCTTCTTCGTCTTGTTAATGATGAATCACCCCTTTTTCTTGTTACCATTGTTTTCTTTGCCAACTCAAGCCGCCTTCTTACTCTCAGCAGGCAAGTTCTTCTTGGCGGCCCAGCCGTTGATGTTGGTCGCGCTTCCACCGGCGCCGGTCCCGGTGAAGACCGGCACACCTTTCTCCATCAGGCGCCCCGCCGGACATTTGCGGGTGCCCACGTTCTTGATTTGGTAGCTTGATTGTCGAATCCGCATTCAACGATACGGGGCGGCGTCAGGATCATGTTTTAATTGTGACAACATGCACGTGTAAGTCCCAGCGAACGCAGAACCGAGTGCCTCCAAAGCCGATCATATAGACTACTCCAAGGATACGATATTAATCCTAGTTTAGCCCTAGAACGATACGGAGGGCGGACGGGAGGATGTCAGCTTGTCTGTGATGTGATGACATATGGGTGTGCATGGACTTGCCAAAAATAGACACTCCCAAGCATCATCGAAGCTGTTAGACCAGTAAACGAGACGATGCTTCCAATCGTCGAACCCCGTTTCCCTCTCCAACTACTGGGAATCATGCTGAAAGTGACAAGCGACAGATGCATGTAGAGTCTCTTCAACTTGCGTTGAACTTTAAACAAGTCGAGCGGGGACCCCTTGCTACGTTTCATTTCTTCACGCGACAATGTCAGCCGTATTCGTTCCAGCCGTATTCGTTCAATGCGGCAAAGCTAATATTGGGTGCGGCCATGAATCGTTTAAGAGAGACGTACCCATTCTTGTAGAACAAGCAACCTTGCTTGGCGTCGTGGAACTGGGAGAATTGGGGCACCCGCACGACGTCAGCATCCTCTGTCGCGTTGGTCGCGCAACCCACAAGGCGGGACGGATGTAGAGCTATCAAATTAATGCCATGTGTACGACAACGAAATTGTCGAGAAGTGTGCCCCGTTGTGCGAAGGAGTCTGCGCGTGAGTGGGGCATTTTGTCCCGCGGGTGTATAATAAATCCTTCGTCGATAGGGAAAGGTGGGTTATTCTTTGAAGAAATCAACTCCTACCATAGAAAAAGAAGGTTATCGAATTTGCCTGAGATGTCGGCAGGTGGATTGTTCTCGGAAGAAATGAACTCCTACCCTTGTAGAAAAAGAAGGGTCTCGACTTGCCTGGGATGTCGGCAGACTTTACGCCCCCAGCGTTCGAGGCAAAGCACCGCGATGGCACACCACCGAGACGACTGGCGGGAGTGCGGCGTGCCGGGAAGAAGCGGGGAGGGACGAGGTAGAGGAGAACCATGGCTCGGAGCTTGATCGCTGCATTGGCGAACCACTTGAGGAGGAGAGAAGCCTGTTTTGTTCAGAGCATGTCGGAGCGGGGTGGAGGAACTCATTTTTCATCCCGGGTTCGTCAAAACGTAGACTCCGGAATGGCACACGTCGCAAGAGGGTGGCGTCGAGGGTACGGCCACACCACAGGGATTCACTCTAGCCGACACGATTGTTGCCGTATCGGTGTACCACTTTGCGGTTCTAACGTCAACTCGGGTTTGTGTTGTACTAGGGCTTCTACCCTCCCAACAAAATCAAGGACAAGGGGCAAAGACTGGCACGTCTACCACGGGTTCTCCTTCCTTTGCACCGCGCTTGTCCTAGAAAAAAATCTCGAATGCTGTAGTTCGTGGTTAGCGTCTTGTGCCGCGAAAAAATAATTCAATCACATCTCTTTGATAAATTAAGACCAACGCTAGCCGCTGATTTTCCTGTCGGTCTTCGACCGACCCTTCTTTTGAGGATGCCAAAGCAACTGCACGTTTTGCGGTGATTGCTCCCTCCCTCTCACGTGACACGCGTACAAAGTCAGGGATACTTGAAGGGGATAGGAAACGCCCTCATCGTCCGTTCATAGAGTAAGGTCAAAAGTTCATGGTTTAAGAGATAGATGCAATGAGTTTGGACAGGATACCGTCTCGTGTGGTAGCACCACGACCTACACCAACCACAACGGCGACGGTGAAAACAACGACAGAAAGGATAGCCACAACGGCAGCAACAGTATCGTACCTCCGACAAGCCGAGGACCTCTAACAGGGGAGGGTCCAGCAACACGCACACCGCCTTCCGGCCGAGCGGCTTCAGGAACGACGGGACGGATGAGAGTAGCAGGTCCATGTTCTGGTTGACGAGCTCCTCGACGCCGTCTGAACGTTGAAAGTATTCCGCCTTCATTTCGATCAGGGAACAGTCCACGGTGCGCAGGGGAGGAGTCGCGATCACTTGTTTGGGTGAGCCGTGGAGGACATCGTGGTGGCGGGGCCGATTGAGCAACAACACATAGAATGCAACATGATGCGAAGCCTATTCGGCAAGGGACACGTGGCGGTGCGCTCGACTGAAATAAGAGGGTTGGGTATCACAGACTACGCCGAAGAAGATTCGTAACATATACCCTCCTCTATTTCTTGAAAACCATCACTAACGTAGCGGAGAAATAAACAAATACTAGAGCGCTGTCAATGGAACAAGCTGTTCTGTGCAAACGTCTGGTACGCCATAAGGAGAGGTACAAGGTAAAGGCAAGGGAGATGGCTTCCAAAAAAAGCACGGACGCCGTCATTTTTTGCCCTTCTTCAACCAGTCAAATGGTGTCTACCTCGTAGGCCTGCGCGTGAGCATGGGCGTCGTCCCAGATCTTCCATTCCCTGGCCCCCTTGATGCCAAGGCGTTCTCCGTAGATCTGGTAGTACGCCAGGAAGGCAGCCTTCTCGATGTCGGTACAGCGCCTCCACTCCAGCCTGTGTCCGTAATATTTTGAGGAGGGAATCGTCATCGATAGCATTCAATTGTTAGGGGTACAGCGTGGCATAAGGGAGATTCTTACTACTCGATCGCCTGCATGAGAGCGTTGTAGGGAAAAATGTGACACTGCTTTCAGTTCTAAATTTCGTGTTAGTTTCGCCCACTCTTTTCTCGTGATTGTTGATATTTCGTTGGAAAACCGACGTCGGCTATCGATAAGCGCATTGTCACGTTTCTCATGAACGATGTAAACGCGTAGAGCGTTGTTGTCCCCACCTGTACGCTTGTTGAACCAAACCTACCTATCGATCAAGATAGCTGGCAGCGTTGCGAACAAGGCGAGCGAGTAGAGTATGTCCGCGTTGCTGATCTGGCTGGAGAACACTTCGTGTATGGCGTTCACGCGGGCTACCGCGGTATTCGCGCGGTTCGACTCCGTGTGGTTCTCGAAATATTCCTTCAGCAGCAGGTCGGTGTCGTCGTACCTTCACACACAGACGGTAGAGTATCAGAAAGCGACGTTCGCGATGATCACACAGAGATAAAACATGAGAAGTACATCATGAAATGGGGGGAAAAACACGTGTCGCGCCGGTTTCCGAATGTTTTGAAGAGTTTTTAGGAGGTTTCGCACCCAACGGAAGCATAAACAAGTGCCACGAGGTTTGGGTCGTCTAACCACGCGCACAACTCATGCGTCATAGACTCCGATGGAACCGAAATTAGTCTACCGTATTCGCAAGTGGTTCCGTTGATGACGGCAGTATCTGTGTCTCCACGATGCAGCTCTCAGTATTTCTAAAGGCGCAAATCTCCCGATTTCCATAACATCTCTAGCCATACATCGAACACATTGTCGCCTTACCTCTTGCCCGCGTGGACGAACGATCGGCTCTTGTGGAAAACCGCGGCGGCAGAAGGGATGCCGAAGGTACGGATCAGCACTAACAGAGGCCGAAGCCCAAAAAGACAAACAGCGAGGGCAAAAAACGGATTAGGCCGATCAGCTTTTGCAGCGTTACCATTGACGCCGGACAAATCGTTGCTGGACCATTTCGCTTAATGCATAGTACGGGGATGGGGAGAACAAACACACGAACCCATATGCGTCTGGATGTCGGCCAGCCCGGTCAGACGCCAATGATCGTTGACGTTTGTTTACTCACTTAATTCTAACGCCTTCTGGGACGTAGCGGGAAATTCGAGCAAGGTGGTCTTCCGGAAAATCTCCGAAGGGTCGCGGTCTACGTCGGAGAGCTTCATGCCGCGGACCCTGATTGATGCGCCGAGCCACGCACGGCAGGGGCGAGTAGAAGGCACGAGAGTCAGCGCGCACTGTGTGATTGCGATTTTCCTCCCCTGAAAATGCTTGTCTCCCTCCGTGCCTTTCTTCTCCCCCCCTCCCTCTGCTCTCGGTCCGACGCTGCTTACATCCTACTACATGAAGGATCATGTTCAAGTGCCGCTTCAAGTGTTTAACCCTTTGAGAATAGTTATGTCAATGGCACAAACAAGCAAACGCGCAATTCGGAACCGAGTACAAAACGGTTTGGAGCGCGTCACTTAGTCACCCTTGATCTTCGGCGAATTGTGCTAGTCGAAACCACGGGGAGTTTCCTTTTCCGGCCGGTGTCGGGAAGCAATATGCACGACGAAGGGGTTATCATGGGCAGCCATAGTGCAGGTGCTGCAACGGCAGCAAATACACACCGACGGAAGCGCAATAGCCGGACAACGGTCATGTAGACGGCCAAGGCCGTCAATCCACATGTTGTAGTAGAGCAGGGATAAAGCTGTTCTAGGACAGCCTCCATGTTGCCGCCTTCTTCGTGCCGAATAAGGTTCTCTCGTTTCTTCGCGTTCTGAGCATACGACAACACAAGCGAGCGCCGGCAGGTGAGGACTACAGTTAGCGATCGCGAAAGAAAGAACAAGATATGCCAATTCGTCCAGCATCAAAAATTTTAATTGTGGGCTGAAGAACTCAGCGTACGTTGTTCAACTTCTTATGTCAAGATTCCACGTTAAACGTCAAATTTGGCCTCATTGGACGTCCCATGGAACACTTGTGACGTCCACTATGGACGTGGGACGTCGATTGGGACGTCGCATGGGACGTCGCACATATACGGCCGATTAGATACCTTGGACGTCCCGGCTGGAAGTCCTTTTGGACATACTGCGCGATTTAGCACCCAGACGCACATAAGCCAAACAGATGTAGGCAATAGCACTCATAGATCGGATGCGGCGATCAGTTGTGAAGTTGTGTTTCCTGCTAGGTCAATGAAATGGGCACGTGATGGGGGTTTTCCATCCGTCGGCGCAGGCGTCCAATGGGACGGCCCACGTGTCCCATTGGACGTCCAACGGGCACCCTCGTGGGATGTCCAACGGCGTGTCCCATGGCGCCCCACGCTGTTGCACGTCCGACGTGTCCCATTGGACGTCCGACGTGTCCCATGGGACGTCCCGCGTCCAAATGGGACCTTCCGTGCGTCCTATGGGACTTTTTTTACGTCCAATGGTGTGCAATGGGACGTCCAACGCGAACTTCCAATAATGCAAGCATCCCTGACTCCGATTTCTCGCCGACGGCTGGCTGTACATACGACCCACCCTAGAAACGAAATATATTCAGCGGCAACGTCGCTCTGCGCTACGAATTCCTGTACCCGCCCAACAACGAGTGACGGCTGAAACTGGGTAGTCTTTCTGTGTGTGTTTTTATTACTCCAATGAACACGGCACGATGCCTCACCCGCACGCTGACACATTACCAACAACGAAAATCACTGGTCATGTACGGGGCAGGTAGCACATGGATGGATGGGAGAGGGGGGAATAAATAGTATTGGGGTGTTTCTTACAGTATCGACACACTCCCCAGCTACCCTTCGTTTCTTCTGTGTTGGGGTAGCGGTCGCTCCTGTGGTCTGTTGACATCATTTTCTTCTTTTTCGGGAAAATTTTGAATCTTTTGTTTCTACAGACTAAAATATCTGTTTTGAATCGCGGGCGCTAATAACTGTGTAGGGGTGCCTTTGGGAATAGGGCACGTACGTACGTATGCTTTGCGTCGTGCGGCATGCCGTAATATATTGCATCATATTTACTCCTTGCATAGCCAATATTTTCTTCAAGTTGATCCCAGACTCGTATCTATGGATTGGTAGCCTAAAGCGATGAGTTTATTTGCAAGAAAAAACAAGTGGCGATCACCTCCTGCTGTGCGTGTACGAAAGGAAAAGAGCATGACGACGTGCCTCAAAATGAACAAACAAACGTCATACTTCTACATGTAGCCCTGAATTATTATTTCGGAGCCACATGATGCCCAACTCGTCGGTGTCTTGCCGGGTGCGCTGCGGAACCGAAGAACGTTGCTACTATGCCTGCGATGTGTCACATTTGGCAGTCAGGGGTACAGAGTCTACCAGCACGCGTGCGTACACTCCTCCTAAGGTTAGTCTACCGATGAATAATAACAACGAACGCCCGATCGATGTGCTATCGTCTACGGTGGTACTGCACAAGAGTAACGTTGCAGACAATAGCCCCCAAGGCGGAGGAGGTGGATCACAATGCACCTTGTTCGCTCCGCGGCAATTGACTGTTCTAATCAATCCAGACCACGTCGCAACACGCTGTCTGTCGCCAACCAACTCGCGTGCTCATCGAGGTATGTATTATGCGTAGTACCTGTTGACACGTACACACCCAAGCTTGTGTCAAAGACAGCAGATGGAGAGATGTCAGTTCTGGCCCACAACGACGGGGAGGAGGGCGTGGTTGCCTTCTCTGATATTGTTTGTGATTGAGCCGAGAAGGCCGCGGGCAGAGACAGTCGTTGTTGGAGGGTGAGCGGAGGATCTTGGGCCTCGTTTGCGTCGTCCCTGGTCCCCACCAATCAATGGTCTCTACGGTAGGAATACAACAAGAGAACTAATAAAAAAAAACTAAAAACAATTGTTGCCCCGAATAGAAACTTTCTGCGCGCGCACCCACTAAGCGTACTACATGTAGTGCATGCATGCGTGGAGGCTAACACATAGCGTTTGCTTGTTCTATAGTAACCCGATTAGCAACTCGTGATCTGATCAATGGGCGTCGGCGAAGAGTACAACGCAATATTTTTTTGTGCCCGGGCTAATTGATGGTTGGCTGATTTTCATTTTTTTGCACAACAGCAGGCTATTCCTTGACAAATGACAAATACGACAGCACAGAGCAAGCACGTTCTCGAACAAATAGTAATTCGTATATAGCAGTACGCGTCCCCGGCCCGACTAAAAATGCAAGTTGCCTCCATCTCACAGACTTCGCCGCATAGGACGCTCACCCCCGCGTCACACATCGCGCGAGCCTCTCAATACGCGGAGAGAAGAAATATAACAACATGTCGGGCGGCGGCGGCCGACAAAGAGGGCGGAGCACGCACACTACACATGCATCTCCACGGGGCTGCGTACCACACTGCTGTTGTGCAATCAAGGGCCCGATAATATGTTCTAGTGATTTGGGGATTGCTTCAGTTAGTATAGGTTGGCGGCTAATTGGATGTCTTGGATGACTTCAGTATTATGTAAGTTTTGCAAAAGGATTTGAAAGGTCCTAGATTTAGACGGCAGTCTTGTTCTGTTTGGATTGACAAGGGTAAACAAACGTGGATGGTCATGTTTATACTGAGTTAGGGAATTTGAGGTCTACTGTAGTCTACGTGTTCAGATTACGTCCATGAAGGGGTACAAACTCCCCAACGCCTGGCGAGGACGGTTTACTCTTTTTACATTGACGCCCAAGAAGAGATGTCTGATTATGGTGTTGGAACGGATCGCGGATTGAAAATCCCGCTCCCCACTTGTAGCAGGTTGTTCCGTCCTCTCGAGGACGCGTGGTCAACGGTCTAATAATCGCTAAGGCATGCAAAACATATGAGTACGCACCCCCCCCCCCCCCCCCCCCATAACTTGTAGCAGGTTGTGGGTTCAATTTTGCTGTATGGAGGGTTTTCTTTGCCTACAATTTTGAAGTCGTACACCCTTGCATATTCACGGCCGACGAGGGAAGAGGGAAGGCTGAACCCTTCTCGCGACAAAAACTAAAGCAAGTACGGCAGGAGGACAGGCGGCGTAACAACTAAAAAGCGCTCCCGTGTGACCTTCCTCGTGTTTGCCGCGGGCTGATATGATAAAACCATATGGGACACCGAAAGATTTGTGAACTAATTTGGAAAAAGACAACGAAATACGAAAGGAAACGTGGTGGGGGACCGACACCACATCGTCGAAGTTGTTCATACTTTTATCACACAGCGACGGTGGCCGGTCCGCGTTCGAGAAAACACGCACATGACATCGTGAGGAGTGGAAAAAAATCGACTCGCCACTCGCAAAAGGGTTAAGATAGTCATGAAGTCTTCTTGCTGCCTAGAACAAGACACGGAATAGAAATAATGGGGGAATAATGTGGAGAGCACCATCTACATCGGGGGTATGATCTATCCTACCAAACATCTGTCGACGACGATTCCCCCCCAAGTCATGTCTATGTCCTGCGGCGGCTGAAAGTTGAGACCCTTGGCTAATGATACCCCACCCCCATTCGGCGTCAACAGCAACCGTGTTCGCATGTGTTCCGCTTCTCGATCTGATGAATGCATGGAGGGCAACCTTGTCTCCGTTGACTACACGGTTACGTGAGCTTATTGACTCCTCGATGTCTTACTTTATAATAGTTCGCGACGTTGATTGCCTATTCCGACGACAGACATGCCGTCGGCGAGTTGTCATTGAACGGACGGGAACAAGCGAGAAGCGAAGAAAGCAAAACGAAATGTACAAAACGCGATTCCATCGCAAGCGACCACAGAGCGATGACAACACCATGCTGTAAACAACACGACGAACAACGCGCACCACTGCTGTGCAACGCACGTGTGTGTGCATCGTGTTTCGTGGTATACCGCGGGCCTCAAGCATCGCAAGGAAACAACGCGCCCAGAATCACGTGCGAAGAACTCTTGCCGCCGCATCCTGACAGAGCAACATGTAGTTAAGGCATCGTAGCCTGTTCTACAGAGTAGTATGTATCACGTACGACACGGCATTCATCCATATGATACACGTACACGTGCCGAATCAAGACTGCCTACAATAAGGGCTTGTAGCTTGTAGACTTGTCGACCACCTGCTTACTGCTGACACACGCACGGTACACACACTTCTGCGTGTTTCTGGACGTCAAGACTGCGCGTTTCGGTATAGTACGTGGACGCACCAACCGGGGGGTACACAGGACGAACCCTACACAGAAACTCTGTTCAGTGAACCTTCGCGCATAACACCAGCATGGGGTATCGACAGATGGAAATCGTTTCAAACAGGGGAACAGAGGCCAAAAACATTCCATGTGTATCAGACACCGCGATAAGGGTTGAGCCCTTCCGACACCAACCTGCGTTCTTCACCATCTTATATGCACGCCACCTAATGCCATGGCACTTCCTCTAGAACCAACTATGAACCAACTACCCCCCCCCCCCCACCCCTCCCCACGTCGCCTCCGCGTCTCTCCATGGTAAAGATAGTCCGCGTACTTAATTCCGACCAATGATAGTCCGCGTACTCCTCCGCCAGATGAAATTCGTTGTTGGTATCGTTTTCGTTTCCGCAATATCAAGAAAGGGACGCGGAAGACGTGCCAACTCTGCAGGCTCACGCTACCGCGCTGCCTCAAGCCTCCTTCAGCTTGCCGTCTCGCTTGTGGTCGGCCAACACCGACTCCCCCACGAAGAAGAAAAACAGGGCGCTGATCGCGTAGAAGGCCGCCACGGTGTAGAGGAGGACGTCCTGCAGCTCGAAGCCCCCCTGTTGGATCAAGTACCCCATCAGCGGAGGCGCCAGCGTTCCGAACGCCGACAGTGTGCTGTTGTAAGGGGTTTCGAGGTGCGAACGCGGTAAGGGGTAGCGGGTGGGGGTCAGCGAGCGGCACGCCTTTTGCGAGGATATAAGAGACAATCAATGGAGAAGAGAGGGGGGCTTCGTATCCCTATCTCTAACCCTGCCCCTAGCCCCCAACCCCACACCCCATGCCCCATCTACTAAAATCAAGCTTAAATTCCTTGCAAAGGCTACCGCAGCGAGCAGGCCGGGCAGGCGGTCAACTTGGGAGGGTGGAAACACCCGGACAAGAGAAGCCGTTGAAGGACAGCAACGTGCTAGGACGCGAACAGGTGCTAGCTGCTTCATTTGGAAGTGTCCCGTTTGTGCTAATCGGCACAACGTTTTCCGGACGGCTCCTGCTGGACACAAGATCACGTTTAACCCGGAATGCCTCGCAGCAGTATTTTACACCAGTTCGAGATTTACTCGAACGACCCAGATACGTTCTATCGCAAACATAGTAGTTTCGATCACATTTCGTCACGCCAGTCGATCTTCGCGCGTGCACCGGAGAAGGAAGGAGGGCAGTCACCTGAAAACCCCTTGGCCAACACCTCGCACGTTGGGCGGAAGGCCTTCCTGCAGTATCGTAACCGTGCCACCGAACCAACATTCCGCCGCGATGTACTCGGCCAGCAGGAAGGCCAGCGAAACGTAGAAGTTGGTCCCGGTGACGACCCCGATCCAGCACGGAATGGCGAGGATACACCCTGCCATAGGCACCCATGCACGCACCCGCGGGTCCTTTCGGACGGGAGAGAGGCGTGCAGTCGGGAGTTGACAGAATGGGTTAGGGGAGAAACGGGGTTCCGGCAACAACGATACGCTACTACCTTCGCTATTTTCTTATAGGGAGGGGGGGGGAGGGGGGGGGGGGGGGCTGGAATGGCAGGGGCCTTCGGGGCCCGGCCCGGGGGGGACCCTCCCAACACCTATGCTTTATGGGATCTT